CCAGATGGGCGCTGTCGGGTCAGGAATTTACCTGGCTTCCTTGGGAAACATGATCCAACTATCTTTAAAAGCAAGCTCTTTCAACCCAGTAACTGATTAACACAATATATAATAGTTCATAGAATTTTTAGAACCTGTAACAACAAAAACCTGTGACGACAGAAGTGTGATAGACTGGCCAGTTGCTGCCTCGCACCTCATACTTTTGGAGGCTCTAGCTGCTGTTTGTACCAGCTGGCCACTTGTGCACAAACACAGACACACACACACACACACACACACACACACACACACTGTCCCTTCCCCACACCTCCTGACCCAAGAAACACAGAGCCTGAATCAGTTAAGATGAAAACAGGTGCATTATCTGCATGGTCAAAGGCACAGCCTGAGCCAGACCCCAAACCAGATCAGGAGTCACCCTGTACCTGGAGCGGAGGAGCCTTAAGGAGTACAGAAAGCCAGGCCCTGGAGCAGGGCAGCCATTGGGATGACCTGCCTGGAGAGCAGCGATGAGGGACCTTGAGCCCTGGAGAGGCTGAGAGAACTCCCAGTTCCAGGGCCAGGCAGCCTGGTGAGACCTTGTTTTCCACCCTCACTGAGGCCTCTTTAGGGGAAACTCACTTTCATGTCAGCTAGCTTGCGAGGTTTCCTTCTTTGTACCTCATTCTACCGAACTCAGGGATCCTGGCTCACAGAGGGCAGGCGTGCCTGCAGGGCTCACCATGTGGCCCTGGAGCCGCACCAGCTGTTGGCCCAGCTGTTCCGCTGCATTGTGTTTAGTTACATTCAACTTACCTGTGATCACAAGGCAGGTGGTCTACTGAAGAACGCTTCACACACCTTTCTGATTCAGGCCCGTGCACACATGTAACATGCAAACACACACAAACACACACACTCACACCCCTAACATTTGCTATTGATTGACGTTAGGAAAGCACTGCTATCTGAACATGCCTGCACCACACTAGTATTGTAGGTTTGTTCTTTTCCTCTCTCTAAAAAACAATATTTTTTCTTACAATTGTTTTTACATTCTACCAAAAAAATAACATTTGAAATTACCACTCAGAGTACAGATTCATATGCATGTTTTTTTCAGATGTCAACTTTAATGAGAAGAATGAGGAAGAATGTCGTTAAGTCTGAAAAGAAATGAGTTCCTGCCTCAGGAATGCCTCATCCTTTGCTGCTGTGGACGAGGTCACTGAACACAGCGAGGTCACGCTGCAGGCAATGATCATTTGGTTCTAGAACCCAACTTGCCGGATTCCTGATTGTGCTCTGCTACCCGATGTCATTACACTGGAAAAGTTAGGTTGGAGATACTAAGCAACAAACATGAGCAGTGGCTTGGATTATTATGGAAATCCTAAATGAAACCAAGTTGGTCCCACAAAAGTATGCTCTGCTCCCAATGCTTTTCTGGTGGTCCGACTCAGCCAGGGTGTAAGCTTCCAACCAAACGTAGAGAGCGGCCTAAAAACCATCTCTGCTCAAACATAATTGACACCCTACTTCTTGGTGAGGTCTGGCCCAGTGGGAATATCCCATTTCCCTTCCTGGCTTGCCCTGGAGTGTTCACATGCATAGACCATCAGGGTAGCCTAACTTAACATTACTGTTACAAATATTACCTTTAGGCGTATTTTTAAGCCTTGAAGAGAGGAAGATGGTGGAACTACTATAAGAACAACAGGAGAAGGCATCACAGGGGCCAGCTTCCTACATGGCAGGGGATGTGTTTCCTGCATGAACTCTGAGTGGCAGTGAAGGAGATAGTGTGGATTAGTAATGGCTTCTCATACACCTGGGTACTATGCTACCTGCAAGATGGGACACAAAAAGCAAAACCCTAACTGGAGTAAATATTAATATGAGCCAGGAGCCTTTTTTTAAATCATTGTGTTAAAAATATGGGAAGCAGACACAAAAGTTGTTATTCTGAACACCAAGGAATATGCACTGGCCTAGCTTACCACATTATGAGCTTGCTAAATTTGGAATTAGGTTGTCTGATAAGCTGCATCTGAAAGATTCACATGGTTTCTGGATAGTCCCTCATGACCTAGACTTCCGGGTAGGTTGGTCTGAACTCCCAAATGTTGTGCATTGCCTAAAAGTGAGCTCTAAAGGTTTTCCCTAAAATTGATTGGTTTTCCAGTAATTCCACCAGCTAGGCAGGGTTAGCATTTGGGAAAGGCACAGAAACCAATATACACATAAAAAATACGTAGGTTTGTTGGAATTGAAATTTGTCAACTAAGAATAGATCTCTATTACTAAAGTTTTGGTATTCCTTCAGAAAAAGTTTAAAGTTTGGCTGAATTCACCCAGAGTTAAAGACACCAAAATAATACACTTGTATTGTCTATATGTATTGTCTATATTTTAAAGAAACACTAAAAATTACAATGAAATCCCTGTTATAAATTATAGAATATCACATACACCCTGAAGAGTACATCTTTTACAGTATAGGCAAACTCAATTCTTTTACGTAGTTGTAACAGAATTAAATATCTGGTTTCATTCTCTCACAAAGAAAATTAGGTACAGCTTTTATTGTGCTTAATAATTTTACATTTCTCAAATGTTTTCAAGGAGTCCACTGGTCCACAATAAAAATATTTGGATATGTTGATTCAGAATTAAAGGTTATTTTCGCACTTTCCTTTATCTGATTTCTGAGACTGTACATATGTCCCCTGAGACGCCTATGTGCTATGTTGGTACAATGCTGAACACCATGTAAGAGAAAGTCTCAGTTGTGAAATCACTCAGTTGGCCTCTAACACCATTGATTCTAAAGGAAACACAGTGCCTTGATTCTATGATTCGAGGCAGGGAAGAACATCAAACTGGGTCTAGGACATGCTGCTATTTTTAGATAGCATGGATGCTCTTAGCGATGTCAGTCATGAAGGAACACTAGTATCAGCATAAAGGACTTGCTACTGACCCAATTGTGAGACTTTGAGCATCAAATACAAGCACAGCAAGGTAGTCGTAACACAAAAGCAGGCTGTGATACAAGTTTAATTGTTTAGCAAATGGGGGAGTGTTCACACTGAGTATTTTATTACTTCTAATAATGATGTCTATTTATAATATTTACATCTATAGTTATTTTCGTAAGCACTGAAGAACAAACACATGAAACTGTAACTTGGCCAAATGTTCCTATCAGAAATTACTAAAATAAAAAATATGGCTTCATTAGCACAAATAATAGGATGTATGCTGAGTACAAGTAAAAAGCTCTAGCATCAAGATTCCTGATAAAGAATACATAATTTTCTTTCTTTTTCTTTCTGTTTTTGTAAATATATTTCTATTGATTTTAAATAATAAGGGAGGGGGGGGGAGAGAGACACAGAAACATCATTGATGAGAAACATTGATTGGCTGTCTCCTGAACACCCCCCATTGGGGATCAAGCCCGCAACCCAGGTATGTGCCCTCACTGGGAATCGAACCATGACCTCCTGTTTCATAGGTCAACACTCAACCACTGAGCAACACTGGCCAGGCAGGAATACAATCATTTTAAATGACAAAAAAGAACAGATCAAATACCCTAAATGATAAGCCAAGAGGTTAGGTGTTATCATCTATGTAAAGCTTAATACATCATTACTGCAAAAGACACCAAGTTTCAAAGACAAAAATTTTTTAATAAAGGTATTTAAAAAGTTTATCATAAATAAAGCAAAACAAAACAGTCAGCCCCACACTGTGGGCTCAGGTTTAATTGAATTACCCTTGTATACATACATAATCAGAACAAGTCCAGATCAAGAATCAACTAGTCAGTCAATAACCCAAATCCTTTCCTTTTTCCCTTAAGTTCTAGTAAAAATACTAAAACCCAGGAAAGTATTAATATTGAAAGGTTAGGAATATATTGCACTAAGACTCATACTAACTATGAGGTTATTAAGCACAGAAATAAAGAAATGTTCAAAACCATAGTCTTGATGTTTTAGAATAGGTTTACTAGAATGTGCAATAAAAAATTTTAAATCACTACTTATGTCTAAAAATCCCTCAATGAAAGAATCTATTTTTTTTTTTTTTTTTTTTTTTTTTACAAATTCATATACATTCTGCAATAGTAAATTCCTAAGAGTCTCTGCTAGAATCCAAAGAAAGAGTGATTTTAAAGGACACAAGACACAGCTTGGGTTGTCTATTACTACCAAATAGAGACATTTGTTTGGTTTTAAAGACAAATGAGTCACAATAGTAGGAATCATATTTCCATATTAACTATTTGGGTAGATGCCATCATATGTGATTGAGACAACTGCATACTCTCTTTCCTTCCAACGACAAGACTGAAGTTGTGTTGAAGGGAAGTCCCCAAATGATAAAAATAATCCGAAGCACAAAATACTGGCTGAAGGAAGACAAACCCAAAGGCCACTACTTCAGAGAGCTACTATTGGACCAGTTGCCAGATCTTTAGGAATACCATGGAACTGTGAGGTGCCTCTCAAAGAAAGAAAAGCATTAGTTACCTTTAATCTTACACACAATAAACACAAAAACCGTATTAGAAAAGTTGTACAATTTTGTCAAATCATAATAAATTTTCACCACACTTGGTTCATCATGGGGTTAAAAAAAAAAAAGAAATAGAAGAGTTCATCTATCTTGTTAGCTCTGTGAGTGCTACTATCCTGACATTTGTTCCTGAGTGAATGAAAGAAGGAATCCTGGGGAGACCCATCCCTTAAAAACAAAGCAAACAGCCGGGACCGGTTTGGCTCAGTGGATAGAGCGTCGGCTTGGGGACTGAAGGGTCCTGGGTTCGATTCCGGTCAAGGGCATGTACCTTGGTTGGGGGAATATCCCCAGTGGGGGGTGTGCAGGAGGCAGCTGATCGATGACACTCTCTCATCGATGTTTCTAACTCTCTATCTCTCTCCCTTCCTCTCTGTATAAAATCAATAAAATATATTTAAAAAAAAAAAAAAAAAGCAAAAAACCTCTTTGGGAATGCGAGTATTCCATTCTGCAAAATGGCGCACAATGTCAATCAATTTGATCCAAGGGCTGGTGCCACATAGACCTAGAATGATTAAACAACTTGATGAATCATGAAGATAAACCTGAAATGACAAAATGTGCGTGGGGAGCTGGTATTTAGAATGGCACTCAATATGGCCAGTAGTCTGTACATATATAAATAGCGTGAAGGTATCCCAACGGTGCTGTGTCGAGTTGGGAAAGATGAAATTTGACCAGCAAGCTTTTCATGATTACGGCTTTTTTCTCATTTCTTCATCCCAATCAAAATCCAATGCTTCATCCTCTAGTTCTGGTAAAGTAAAGAGAGACTTTTTGGAAAGACTGGGTTTCTCGGGGGACCCCTCCAACTGGAAAGTTTTCCTTTTCCTGCCAAGCATTGTAGCTACGGTGGAGGGAGGTGGGCTTGGGCCTCTCTCGCCCGAGTTCTGACTCTCGGGAGGAGGCAGGGACGCTGATTTGGATTCAGGGGAGGAAGTGAAGGAGAAGTTGGCCAACTTGGCTAACGTGCAAGCATGAACCTTGCTGCTTCTATTGCTGCACGGAAGCCCTTCCTTTCTATCTCTCTCACCAGTGAGATGCAAATGCCCAGTCTGGTTCCTGAGCTCAAATTCAGGCCGAGTCTCTCTCTCTCCAGGGCCACGTGCCCTCTCCGCTCCTGATCCGTCTTCCCCTGATGACGGCTGTGACGCCCCCGGCACCCTCTCCTGCAGCAGAGCTGAGCCTCCGCTTCCCGAGGCAGAGGCAGAGGCAGAGGCAGAGGCAGAGGCAGAGGCAGAGGCAGAGGTCAACGCTTCTGGACGCTTCACCGACAGCACTGCTGCTCCTCTCGATCCACGCTGGGAGGTTTTTGAACTCCGAACCGCTATGTCAGTTCTGCCAGGAGACACAGGGCCGTGGTCCTCAGGGGAGTGGATCAGCTTTGACTTGTGTTTGAAAGTAAATTTTGCTAGTCTGGCCACAGGGGCGCCCGAACTCTCACCACTTTCAGGTTCAGGCTCTTCCACCCGAGGGAGGGCCTTCTGCCGCTTCCTGTCTGGGCCCCGTACTGGGACGGAGGGAGGATGAGGAGGGCTTGTGGGCTGTGGAGGCGCATACAGCTCCTGGGCCCTCTCCCTGCGCAGCCGGTGCAGCTTCCGGGGGACGTGATGAGTCAGCATGGAGCCCGGCTCCTCAGCAGTTCTCGCTGCCTTTTTTCCCTTTTCACCCTCAACTCTCTCCGGCCTCAATGGAGCTCCTGTCTCTGCCGGTGCTGGACGCAGTCCAATTTCCAGTTGGCTCCTTTGGCCTGGCTCACTCCCTTCCCTGCCCTGAGATGTGCTGCTGGAGTTTTTCAAAGCCACTCTCCCCTCAGCTGTTCTGGGACCAGGAGACACAGAAACAGTGTTTTTCCGTTCAATCTGATGAGTTGTCAGGGAGTCGAACCAATCCAAACCGGCATCTCTGCTGTCGTGCTGGGCTGGATCTTCTCTCCGTGCTGACCTGGTAGGCCCCGGGTGGGGCGCGGGGTCAAGAGGTGGGCTTCCCCCGGGACTGCCTCCGGTGGGGGAGGAAGGGACACCACGATTCGCTTCCTGCTGTGTTGACGTTCTGAATGTGGGCTCTCCCCCGGGGTTATGTTCCCAGGACCCTGGAGTAGTCTCCGCCTCTGCTGTCCTCGGCTGGGACTGGGACACACTCTGATCCTGCAGCCTGTAGCAGAAATAAGGAAACATATATTGAAGGGAAGGATACTTGCTTTACCCTTTTCATTTCTTTAGTGTCTGAGATGCCACCTAAAGGGATAAGTCCAACATTATTCCAGGTTAATACCAAATACAGTCTCTAAAACCAGCAAGAGGCAATTACCTGGTTTCATCAAAATAGAGATTAAGGCCCTAGCTGGTTTGACTCAGTGGATAAGAGCGTTGGACTGCGGAATGAAAGGTCTCAGGTTCAATTCCAGTCAAGGGCACATGCTCGGGTTGCAGGCTCAATTTCCAGTAGGGGGCGAGCAGGAGGCAGCTGATCAATGATTCTGTCCCATCATTGATGTTTCTATCCCTTTCTCCCTCTTCCTTCTTCTCTGAAATCAATAAATACATATTTTTAAAAAATAGAGATTAAGTGATCTGATAATCATTCTAATTTAACCTTAAAATTAAAAAAATGAAGTGCTGAGTTTGCCTACATTTCCCTTCTGTCTGACAGTCCACTTACTAATTCATTTAAGATAGTTTGAAGGTCAATATAAAAATGCTCAGTCTTATCTATCATATTATATGTGTAACTACAAAACAGACTGCTAGTTATTTGCACAGTAGCTTATTGCTGATCAAGAAAGTAGCTCCACCCGGTTGGTTGAGTGTTGACCTATGAACTATGAGGTCATGGTTCAATTCCCAGACAGGGCACATGCCCAGGTTGTTTCAAATTCTTCAGGTGATGCACGTTCCTTCCCATACGCCACATGTTAACAAGTCCTTAGAAAGGAGAGTTTGAGACATTGCTGTTGTCATTCCCGGGTTGTTTGGATGTTCCAGAACCAGTAGGATGACCTCCCTCTTTAAAATAAAATACTTGATTGTCACTGAGGATTTTTAAAAGTCTATTAGCTATGTAAATTGTTAAAAGTCATGGATTTGGGCATGCAGGAAAGGAAAACTGCTGAGAAACCAGATGGAGGTCAGTATAGTTAGCTCTATTTTTTTTTTTTTTTACTTGTGTGTCTTTTATTTTTATTTATTTATTTTTTTAAATATATTTTTTAATTGATTTTTTACAGGGAGGAAGGGAGATAGAGTCAGAAACATCGATGAGAGAGAATCATCGGATCAGCTGCCTCCTGCACACACACACACACACACACACACACACACACACACTTGGGGATGTGCCCGCAACCAAGGCACATGCCCTGGGCCAGAATCGAACCTGGGACCTTTCAATTCGCAGGCCGATGCTCTATCCACTGAGCCAAATCGGTCTCGGCAGTTATCTCTATTTCTAACTTGCCCAGCACTAACTTAGGTTGGCCTATGTAAATCAATTCTGCGCCTCAGTCTTCTACCGTGAATTTCTTTTACCAGGGTTAGAACTGATATAAAATATTTATTATGTTTAGAAACTGTAAGAATAAAATTAAAATAGTAATAAACACAGAGATTCTTTATATAAACTCCCTTGCACGTGTCCTCTCCTGATGAGGAAAGTTGGGAAGGCCAAGTAGGCATTTTGTTTGGGTCTGGCCTGGGACAGATGGCTCCTGGACTCTAACTTCCTCCTTCTTAACAGCAGTCGCAGCGCCTTGTTGCTCTAGTTTGTACAGGGAGTCAACGAAAGAGAAGAGGAAGAAGTGGTGAAAGCAAACGTGATAGAGCCCACTCACTAGCAGCAGCTGTGCATATTGGGTGTGAACATAGGTAGCTTACCTTACTGCTTCTCATGTAATTGAGACCCAGTGCTATCCATTTAACTGCACTGAGTAAATTTATTTAGTTTTCAACACACATATAGCAACCAACCAGTAAGCGTTCTCCATGAGGCTCACCAAACCAGCAAGTCAAGAAGATGTAGCTTTGGAAGGTGATCTCTAAAGATGGCAGCCATCATTCCATTGTTCCTCCGTTCCCATATGCCTGTGCCACACCTCCCGTCACCCCGTGATGTCTATTTCCTTTCACTCTGCCTGTGGGGTGACCTTGTGACTTGCTCTAACCTACAGCACGTGGCAGAAACGATTCTGCTTCTGTCCTGGCCCAGCCTGTAGGATGCCTGGCAGCTCAGGCTCTTGCTATACTGGAGTCCTAAGCTACCATGGCAGAATCCTGACTACCCTACAGCAGAGCGAGCCCAGCAGCCCCGGCCATGTGTGCCACCCAGGGAAGACATCATACATGAGACGGAAGCATCTTGGATGATCCTAAACTGGCTGAGCTCCCAGAAATGCAGGTGTATGAGTAATTCCAGCTGATACTATGCTGATTAGAGATGAGCCATCCCTGAGAGACTCCCGAATTTCTGTCTCCTAGGAAAGTGAGCACTATAATGGGGGTGGATTTCTTTTTTTAAGCCACCGAGTTTTGGGGTAGCTGATTATAAGCAATAGATAACTGAAACAAGCCCCTACAGATAGCACAGGCAGACTTTCACTTAATGTAACTTCCTTTGTTTCACTAAATGCCAACTAAAGTTTTCCATTACATGCCTTTCTTGTTTTGTTTTTTTTTCTTCTCACCTTTCAAGTCTTCTTAGCTCTTCGCTCAGGAGGTCGTGCAGCTCCAGCTTTTCCAGGATGAGTTCACACTGCCTCCGGTACTGCTCCAGAGGGTTGTCAGGAAAGGAAGTGTGGAGTGCGTTCACACCTCCCAGCAGTGCGCCTCCCTGCGGGTGAGGAATGGAGAACAACAGGGAGTCACCACCGGCCTGCAGAGAAGTTCACCAGGCACCATGGGTCCCAGATGGCGAAGCCCAGCCCTCCACACTCCCACCTTGAAGTGAGAATCACCCGGGCATTTTCCAATTTCAATAATCTTCTCCCCCATTCTTGCTAGCAAACATTGCTCTGCGAAGCCACGCTCTCACTAGTAAGACCATGACCGTCGCTCAGGTATGTCAAGGAGAAGATGGATTGAGACCCACCACTTTACACCGATGGGAAAAGCAATTATACTGAGGCAGAGAATGCTTCCAGGACAATATTTTTCCTTTTTTTTTTAATGGTTTCCTTTGGATATATTTCTAGAAATTATTAGGTTTAGAATGTAATCATTTAAATAATAATTCCTGATATGCTACAAACTTTTATTTGATGCTTGTAATTACAGTTCATATATTAGCACCCAATGTCCTTTTTAAAAAATATTTTATTGATTTTTCACAGAGAGGAAGGGAGAAGGATAGAGAGTTAGAAACATCGGTGAGAGAGAAACATCAATCAGCTGCCTCTTGCACACCCCCAAATGGGGATGTGCCCGTAACCAAGGTACATGCCCTTGACCGGAATTGAACCTGGGACCTTTCAGTCCACAGGCCGACACTCTATCCACTGAGCCAAACAGGTTTTGGCATGCACCCAATGTCCTTACCTGCATTGAGGACTCCATTACTGACACCACTGTAATAGCGTCTTCCAGAGTCACTGTGTCACGAAACATAAGGCGAGCATGAGCTGAGAAAATAAGGGACAGTTTAAATCATAAAGACAGAAATGCTTAAAATAAATATCTGAGGTGATAAATGTAGTACTCTACCTGATCCTCTTCCAAAAATGTGTATGTTATGAATGAGCTACTAATAGCAAATTAACTTTTCACAGAACAAGCACAAAAGTCTAAGTTCAACTCGCTTTAAGGCTGTTCCTGTAATAAAGGGGCACATCCTTCTGCACAGCCCATGGCAACTCTGTGTATTTATATGAAAATACTCAGCAAAGAAAGGGGCTACCTAAGCATATGCTTAATATTCTGTAACTTTTAATCCTCATTTTCTAGTCTATTATAGAAACACACAAAATTAAACTCATTTCTCATCTCTGGCAATTTTCTTTATCTGTGAGCTTTTCAAAACTACCAAACTCATGAGCATAAAATTTATGTATTTCTTGCTCTAATATTAGCTATAAATCTTTACTTCTTTAAAGTGCATCCATTTTATAGAACTTTTTATTAAGCATACATTAAGTTAGCACATGGTGCAGTCAGTTCATGTTAAATTTTTTTGATTTATTAACACAAGGGCTAACTGTAAAAGCCAATGTTAAAAGAAAACACCTCCAGATGCATGGTAGCTGCAAGTCAGCATGTCTCTCACACCTTCAGGATGGGCTAGGGCCTGGCATTATTAATTTGGTGTCATTATGTGAATGCTGGGTGCCACATAGGAAACAATTCCAAACAAGGCAGCGTCTCACCCAAAATGCTAGCAGACTTCCCCTGAGAAATAAACCTCAGTGAATAAGACCTCCTAACAAGTTATAGGAGCTATCAGGAAGCCTGAGCTATCACAAAAGATTCCTCTTTCTTAAGGACACGACATTTCACTCAACACCCATAAATGTCCTGGAAGAGCGGAGGTTTCATAGATCAGAGCCTTCACTTTAATAAGCACCTGTGAGCGCCTTAGAGTAGGGAGTATTCATCTTTGAGCTCATGGTGTCAACCCCCATTTCTTGTACATAGTAGGTACCCACTAAAAATTCATTTGCTGAACAAAATAAACCTTCTGCTAATCGTATCAAGCTCTCCAGCAGGCGGATGGTGGTCCGGGCAGCGTTCCGGGAGTCGCTCTGCCTCTGCATCTGGTAGTACCGAAGGAGGACCTGATTGCCCACGTCAGACAGCGAGGGCTGAAGGGTCCTAATGAGGCTGAAGTAGGTTTTCATCTTTTCCATGCTCCACAGCTTCTCGGATTTGCTTGGGTAACCTGCACATATTAGGTGTTGGTCAGCAATTTCTAAGAACAGGCAAATATCTCATTTTAAGGGCTTTGATAAAGTTCTTATACTCTTTATTTTTTAAATAAAGTTTCCAGCTTAAGGCATGCTGGCCTTCCCAATCATCCCCTCAAATAAGACAATTTTTTTTTTTTTTTTTTAGAGAGAGGAAGTGGGGGGAGGGGAGAGAGAGAGAGAGAGAGAGAGAGAGAGAGAGAGAGAGAGAGAATATCATCAATATGAGAAATATTGATTGGTTGCCTCCTGCACACACCCTGATCAGGGATTGAATATGCAGCCTGGGTATGTGCCCTGAACAGAAATCGAACCCAGCACCTTTTAGTGTATGGGATAATGCTCCAAGCAACTGAGCCACACCAGCCAAGGTCTTATACTTTTTAAAAAAGATTAGCTTTAGGTTTTGTGGCCATTGAAATCTAGACCTGTTTCTGCACAGTATATAGTACTAGTAGTTCTAGAACAAACAGTCTTAGGATCTAAGGTTAATAAACGGGTTAATTCTGAATAATTTTGTTCTATGCTATAGTATCCAACATAATAAAAGCCCAATATGCAAATTGTCCCTTTAGGTGCTTGTTCGATGGGGATTTCGACCACTATTCACAACAATAATCTCATCAGTGGCAGACAGAGAAGGGCCCTTTACCTCCTGCTCATTATTCTGCCTCACTAACTGGTCCTCTCCCTGCTGTCAGTCTAAGCATCTCTCTGTTACCTATTAGTAGGGTACCTTGGTATTTATTTAATTTTCTTCGAAGAGAATTTCATTTGGCTGTATCTACATTTTTCCTTTGTCAATAATTTGTTTGTCTTCACATACCTTTGTTTTCTAAGATAAAAGAGGAAATTATACGATCCCAGTCTTCATTCTTGGTATCAAGCAAAACCAGGATTAAGTCAAATCGGCTTAAGAGTGGGCTGCCAAGGGCGATGTTCACAGACACGGACTCCTGCGGGTCGTACTGGCCTTTCGGGTTAGTTGCTGCCAGGATGGTGGTCCTTGTGTTCAGCTTGCACACGAGGCTACAAAAAGAGAGGGTACAATTCACTGACTGTTGAGATTTAAATAAAAAGCAAGATTAAACTTGTTAATGAGAAGGGCTGCTCTTGCATCTTCAACATCTAGAGAAACTCATGTGAAAGAGAATGTGGAATGATACAAGGATGTATCACAAACACCAAGTTCAGCACAGTGTATTTACACTAGCCTACCTTGTAGAGAAACAAATGCTCATAAACATTTCTTAAAACACTGCTATGAGCACACCCTCTGCTGGATGCTAAAGCCATACAAAGTAAATTAAACATGGATACTGTCTTAAGGAGCTGGCAATCTACTAGCTATAATGGTAAGATAAAGAAGAATACGGTAAGTTCTAGAAGTATAACGGTCCCAGGAGAAATAAAGATTATATCTATTCATCCATGTGGACGGAAGTGATGATCAGAAGAACATTACAAAGTAGCTTTTGTACAGGACCCTTCATGATGTGGACTTTTTAGGTGGAGAATATATATATATATTCATGGAGAGGGTGAAGGTAGAGGGTGAGAGGGATTTTGTAGAATTGTGAATTAGTTGAAGCAAAAACTTTGTGTCACTTTGTTTTGATTTTTCTAAAAGTGAAAGAAACAAAAAACAGAAATAGAGAGATGGAGAGAGGGATGAAGACAGGGAGGAGAGGAGCAGGGGAAATGAGGAAAAATAAAGGCTGTTTAGCGTCGTTTTTGAGGAGTAACAGCAAAGGGAAGGGGCCTGGGAGTGGTGGGTGGGTTAGATGGGGAGGACCTTGGATGGACACAGTGAAGAGACAAGGACAATGGTCTAGGAAGAGGCACGAAGTCCTAAATCAGGCATGCCAAACTCACAGCCCACGGGCCACATGCAGCCCACAACAAATATTTTTGCAGCCCAGCCAATATAACGGTATGTAAGAAACATCTTAATAAAAAATTCGTAACTTAATTTTTACAATATCCTTTATACATAATTATTAATAGTGAGCTACAATGTTTGCTAATGACTGATTACTATAATTGGGTTGCATTAATTTCCTTTGCATGCCTTTTACACAGGCGCACCATTTCTCTTCACTAATACTAGCAGCGAATATTTTAGTAGCCAATGGCCACGTCATTAGTCTTGGACTGACTTGTTTGGTGTGAAAAATCGGTTTATTTGCATTATGCTTATTACTTTGGGCAGTTATTCAGTGTCTGGTAAGTTAATATTCAAGAAAAAATATTAATTTTTATTAAAATGTATTATTTTATGTAAACGATTACTCATTTATGTCAGCTCTTTGTATTTAACATGTCTCTATAGAGACATATAAACCTACGTTTCTATGAAAATGGAAGCTTTTGTTTTTTGTGGCCCACATAACTTAAACCCTGTTTATTTGGCCCGTGTTAGCCTTTGAGTTTGACATGCTTGTCCTAAATGGAGCAGTGGCAAGAGAGGTATGGGTATGCCTGACTTAGATACTGTTTTTATTTATTTTAAAAAATATATATTTTATTGATTTTTCACAGAGAGGAAGAGAGAGGGATAGAGAGTTAGAAACATCAATGAGAGAGAATCATCGATCAGCTGCCTCCTGCACACCCCCTACTGGGGATGTGCCCGCAACCAAGGTACGTGCCCTTGACCGGAATCGAACCTGGGACCCTTCAGTCCACAGGCTGACGCTCTATCCACTGAACCAAACCCGTTTCGGCTTATATATTGTTTTTAAATTTACTAATGATGGGCAAGTCCTCAAGGTAATATAGCATATTCGCTGACAAGAACAAGTGTAACATTTCCCCCTGTAAATTCTCTGCTGATGATGACTGTTTTTAACTATAGTGGCATGTCTGCCCCTCAGCAGTCATGGCACGTGGCATCAGCGACATGTGCCACGTTTGTTAATCCCCGATCTATTTCCAGTTGGCTCTAGCAATTACCTCGTGCCCTAAGACTGGAAGAGTTTGAGAATCCCAGTGTGTGGTAAGTGGCATAAGAAGACACCCATTAAAGGAGAGAAAGACAAACAAGGCCCTTTCACTGAAAACTAAATCCCTTTTAAGAAAAGTTACTAAAAAGGAAATATTCTGAACAGACAGTCCACATCTTATAAATTATGTGCCCAGATGGTTTTGTAAAGGTAGAACCCAGTTTGCCCTAAAAACAATGTAATAGTGGTTCCTAATGAATCCCACCAAAGCACATGTAATCCACGTTGAAGTGAGGCCATTGGCATTTATCACAAAAAAGGAGTATTGCTGCAATGCTGGCAATGAGATGAAATACAATTGCATATGAAATAATTCCTTAAAACTATTTCCAATGTAGGTGAAAGTAATTGATTGTTCTTTCTCTCTGGTCAACAAATATTTATAAGCCATTTGTGCAAAGAGCGATACTGAGGATTCAAAAAGGTACAAGCTGGTCTCTGCCTCCGCTGGTTACAGTAGAAAGGCTGGCAGATGAGGAAGTTCAACACAGCGCCCAGCAGACAGCACATGCGCAGCGGGTGGGGGTTATCAGATTAGCATCAGCAGAGAGAAACTTCTGTGGAGACTCCTGCATATCTGTAGGTATCTGATCTTAAAGCACTTTGTGGTGTTAGAAGGAAATGAACTAGCAAAGAGAGAAAGAAGGTGGTGAATTGTTTCTGAGGTAATTGGGGGGGGGGGAGGGGGGCAGACAAGAGTAAGCCTAAGGAAGGGGGCTAAGGAAGGATTAGGTGAAGCAAAATGGCTGCCTGAGGGGCAGTGAGCAGAAGTGCCAGCCATGGAAGTAGAGGGGTGGGCAGGGGAAGCGGAAACCGTGCGGGGTGGTAAGTCAGGCAGCTGCCTGCAGCACAGAAAGGGCCTGGGGATGGTGCCAAGAGGGACAGAGTGGCCTCTGCTCGTTTGAGAGAAGGGAAGACAGAATGCTGTGTAAGCCTGGTGCTTGCAGACCTGTGATACAAACATTACTGCCTTCAAAACTGAATGAGGCTTTTGAAAACACAGATACAAAGGCACAGTCTAATCCTAAGCACTTCCTGCATAGTAAGTACTTCCTGACGTTTTAGGCATTTATTTATTTACCTTACTTTTTTTCCTATTAAATGTGATCTTCCTTGAAGGACTGTCAGTTATTGTTATAATCCTCACATTGTCTGTCATATATTAAATGCTCAATAAATACGCACTAAATAAGTGAAAAAAAATAAACCCTTACTTAATTCAGTATTTCTAAAAGTCAGGGTCATCTTATATTCACAGGCTTCAACGTATAAACTAATCATGTTAATATGTTTTTGTTTTGTTTGTTTGTTTGTTTTCTGATAAATTTGCAGTGGAAACATTCCAGTTTCTCAAAAAACACACAAAACTACTGTCCCATTTTTTTTTAAATCTACATGGGCTAACTTTCCCACAAACACAGCAGTGACCTTTCTAAATACTGTACAGTTTCTAAACGTTGTACACGTTCCTGTCAGCACTGCAGGCCCTGCAGAAGGCGCCCTTGTTTTTGTGACGGTCTCTCATTACAGCCCTGACAGGCGATTCCCGACTTCACTCAGGGCTTTATTCACCTATATTCCTTCACTTCCAGACTGGACTCTGGCTGTGGTGGTAGCTGCTATGTGTTCACATGCCTTATTTCCCTTTGCCGGGGAACAGAGCAAGATTAGATTTCCCATCCCCCTATCGTTAAGTAGGGCTGTCATACTAAGTGTGGTGATGGTAAAAGAACCTACGCTACTGTCAGGTCAGGCCACCATCAAGTTCACAGAAACAGACAGCAGCATGGTGGTTGCCAGGCACTGGGAAAGGTGCAATGGCAAGTTGTTGTTTCATGGGCAGAGAGTTTCAGTTTTGTCAGATGGAAAAGCTCTGAAGATCGGTTGCCCAACAATATGACTACCCTTAACACCTTAGAACTAACTATACACTTAAAAATAATTAGGGTGGTAAATTTTATGGTACGTGTGTTTAACCACAATTTAAGAAGAAAGTAATGGAGGCTGTTATGGACTGAGTATTTGTGTCCCCAGGCAGGGTCGGGAGGGGGTGGGAGTAGATGGTGGCAGACATGGCCCCTTTCCCAGAGGCCTGTCCGTCCCCCTGGCTGGCAGGCCCCAATCAGCCCATCGCCGCCCATCTGCCACGTGGGGATGGAAGGAAGAGAGGCGGAGGCAGGGAACCGAGCAGTGGCAGGGCGCCAACGATGGCGGTGTCGGTGTCCAGTGTCCGTTCCTTTCCTTCCCGGCGACTGTCACCTCTTCTCTGGCCTGGCTCTGTGGCCTGGCCCCAATCAGCCCTGATCGCTGGCCAGGCCTAGGGACCCCACTCAAATTTGGTGCACTGACCTCTAGTGTGAGTATAATTTAGTAGCACCAAATATAGAACTGCAATGTCCAACTTTCTCCTAAAGGTCTTTAGGAAATAATGAGATATTCTCTATTATTTAAGAATCTACTGTATCCTGTCTTTGATGAGATGCTATCCTAGTTAAGACTGAAAGAACCTTGCATAGAATGAACGATTATCTTTCCCAAATCATTATTGAGGTCAGCAGTCCAGTCAAAGATCATCATCACAAAAAGCTCTCTCAAGGAGGCTTGTGCTGCCACTCCCCGGGCACAGGAACGGATCTGCAGTTTAAAGAGGCAGCTTAAATCCAAATACTAGTATTAATAACCCCTTTTAAGCTTCTGGGTTTCCTTTTCTATTTCATTAAGCAGACAGGACAAATGTAAGGTCTTAAAAATCCCAATTTTGAAAATGGTTTCAGATTTAAGTAACATGAGCAAAGAACAAAATTTTTGGTCTTCTCAAACATGCACTGATTCAGTGAGACCTATATTTTGGTTAATGACAACTATTAAACTACATTTTAATAGACTCTAGGCATGCTAAACACTCTTAGTGTGTTAGAATTTTTTCTATTCTGACTACCCAGAACAAGTTTTCACACTGCAGAAATCACATTGACGGGTTCCCTCCCAGCCTCCTGCACATCTGAATGCTGGGTGTAAGGCTTATGATATACCCTTGCAGGTATACGCCCACCACATGGATAAAGTTTAACCTCTACACAAAAAACAGTTTCTATGGAATAATTAAATGCGTAGTTCCCATTTTAAAAACGAACTCTATAACTTTGTGCAATATATATGAAATGACACACTTAAAAAAATCTGAGAATCCCTGCAGCCCTGGAGGCCAGCCAGATGTTCTGATCCAGTGGTTCACACTAACATTTGTAGAGAGATTGAATTCAAATAAGTCCTTCACAATCCATCAGACTTTAGTCACTTGAGAAACGTGAAAGAGAGAAAACAAAAAAGGAATCCTGAAAACGATATTGCAAGGATTCAAAAATGTCAAAGGAAACGAAGTGGTGCTTGAGGAGGATGGCTCAGTGAAAGACGCGTCTTTTAGTGCACAGAAGCCTTCACCTTGCTGGTCAAAGAAAGGGAGGAATTTAAAATAAATTTTAGTTATTTCTCCTTATTTGCTTCTACGGAAGCTACTTCTTCCACTTATGAGCTGTCAAAGATGGCAGTTTGTGTGCCTCATCTGTCCTTGGAGGGGTTTGTCACACTTTGGAATTAAGTCCCCTTGATTTCCTTATAAACTCAGCTTTTAAAAGTTCAAGACATGATTCTGTTGGCTAGTTGAATTTTTCTTGTAAAAATGGGAGTGACATGTGCTTACTGTTTTCTCCATCCTAAGTGGATGAAGAATTTAGGCTTACATTTTGTGTCTTTGCTTTTTAATTTAATTTTAAAAATAATTTTATAAAAATATTGGTGTGACCAAAACTGGTTTGGCTCAGTGGATAGAGCGTCGGCCTGTGGACTGAAGGGTCCCAGATTCGATTCTGGTCAAGGGCATGTACCAGTAGGGAGTGTGCAAGAAGCAGCTGATCGATGAGACTCTCTCATCAATGTTTCTAACCCTCTATCTCTCTCTCTCTTCCTCTCTGTAAAAAATCAATAAAATATATTTTAAAAAATATTGGTGTGATGAACTGAAAAAAGCATTAAAACTAGCCCTTCACCAAAATTAGTGTGAAAAGCATTGTCCCAGTGAATGAAGAGTTACAGCAATGACAACTCTGTCCAGTCAGTGCGTGTCATAGTGAACTGTTTATCTACAAGAGCATTACTTCTGGAACTTAGACCAGCACAGAAAAGTCATACTAATTCCCACTTGCAGAGGGTAAAGGCAGTAGGAGTGATTAATAAGATATTTTCACTTATGAAGATTTATTCCGTAGCCTATCATATAGCACTGCAATGTTCTCCCTTTCTAAAATACACTCTTAGCATCTGTCCCAATTTTCCCTGATGCCAGTGGTATTTAGGAAATCTTTCAAAATGTTCCAGATTTCATCTGGAAAAGGTGTATCAAAATAAACCACAGATTCCATCAACTAGCAAAGGTACTAATTAAATGAAGGCATAATGAGAAGAGAAAGTAGCCTTGAAAACACTTAGTAAACTATTATCTCAGCTTTCCCCTGACAAGTAGTTTTGAAGCATTAATTACTTTAAAGTATGTTCTCTCATAACACTTTTATTATGCGCTTATCACTGTGATGCTCTTGTGTCTATCTTCCCCAACAAAACAGCAAACACTTCAAGGACAGTGTAGTATTCATCTTGGTACTTCTCAGTGTCTAACACAGTGCCTGGCATACAGCCGGCTCAGTGTATTCACATACTGAATGAATATATATTGAGTAAAATGAATAGATCTGCTAATAATTCTGTCTAGTTTTCTTGTACCTTTTCCCTCTGGACCAGAGCCTGCTTTTACCGCCCCTAACCCCTTTCCTTTTTACGAGTGTATATAAATAGGTCTCACATAATCTATAACACCAGTGTCTGCCTGGCTCCCAAGTAACCACTGCTGTTTGAAGACTGCTGGCAGCCATATCTGCCTGCTCAGCTGGCCTCACACCTAAATGGTAGCATTAAAGCTAAGACAGTTCTGCCTCTCTCCTTTGCCTGGATGACCTGATGGTAGCCTGCTTGTGGTCAGCCTTTGTAGCCAAATAAGTTTCCCATAACCACCTCAGGGCCTGCATTTCTATTTGAACCTGCTTATTTTTCTCTCTCATTGGTCATGTATAGCCAAGGATCCACATACCTCAACCCCTGAGCCTCCTCAAGACACAACAGGCACTCCATCTTATGCTAATATATACTATTCTTTACTTTCCTATGTGCTGTGATCAACCTTCTAGTAAGATATATTAGGGGAAAGAAAGACATATAAGGAGACTACCAATGGAAGTAGACATTATGTTTTGTCTTTTTGAATCTTTCAAAATTCTTAACATAATAATATACCCAGAATAGACACACAATTATTGAATGAGATAATAGGTTGGAGCCTGAATGGAAAGCTCTTCACTAGTGCTATTCATGAATTAAATCAACTTACATTTATTTTACACTTTAGTTTTCCTTTCTTTGTTCCAACATCTAATTTTTACTTCCCTTACTCACCTTCGTGGGAAAATTATTATGTGTTTTGAAGGGTGATAACTGTGTCTGAGAGGACCAAGCATACCTTAACAGTTCAATAAGGTTCACATTTTCCATAATCATGTATTAACTAATCTCACTGATTCAAACAGATTTAACACTTACCCAGCCTTAGCAACACTTATGGTTTGTTGCTCCATTGCTTCGTGGATACTGGTTCTATCATGCTCTTTGAGGCTATTAAACTCATCGATACAGCAAAGGCCCGCATCTGCAAGCACTAATGCCCCGGCCTCCAAATTCCATTCTCCGGAGTCTTTTACAGCAGTTACCGTCAGACCTAAGGAAACAAGCAGGTTGTGTCAGCTTTTATTTTCAAAAGCATATCTTAGTCCTATGAAGGGAAATGAATGCTTACATTTAAAGGGCAGGAAGGTTATAAAATCAAAGCTTTTATTTGTACTCCAGCAAGAATGGATGGCATCAGAACAACTATTTCAGGCTGTTACTAAAAGGTCTTGGAATAGCCCATGTTCTGAAATTTTAATAGGCATTAGGAAGTATTTTGTGGCAACCACAAGTCTTCAAATTTTGTCTTTGCTTGGTAGGTACCCTCTCTGAGTGGTGGAAACTTTTAGAAGGAGCTAACAGATCTCCAGAGACTTTATGACAAGAGGTTTTGTATTATGTACTGTTTATAGAGAATGGCCCAAAGACAGAGAACAGTGAATATTAGTCCAATGATGAAAATGAAAAATTTGCTCCCAGTTACAGAGGATTCCCTTCAGAGGTCTTACCTGATTTTAATTCATCCTTTAAACCAGTCAATAAAGCAGAGTGGTCAAAAGCAAAGCCTTTGGAGTCACCTAGACTTGTGTTTGAATCTGGATTTGTCATTCTGGCTAACATATAGTAGGGAGTTTCATAACATATCAAGGCCTAAGTTTTCCACATATAAAAGAGGATAATAATGGAAAATATTTTATAGATTCTTTCTTGAATACTTAAAAAGAATATAAATAAAGCTCTTTAAAAGCTGTATGATACAAAATGAGTATTTACATATATATAAAACCCTGATATGCAAATAGATTAAACAGCGGAACTGAATAACTGGTGGCTATGGCATGTGCTGACCACCAGGGGGCACATGCAGAAACATGGCAGGCATTAGCAACAGAAGGCAGAACGTGGAACAAGGTGGCATCAGGCACAGCGGGATGATGGAGCAGGTCAGCAGGGGTGACAGACCAAGGCAGGGCACTGGTTGCTGTCATCAGGGCCCCTAGTTTATAATAACTACTGTTGACTAAAAAACTGATAAACCTCTGGCTAGACTAATTAAGGAAAAAACAGTAGATAAAAACTACAAATGTTAGGAATGAAAGGCAGAACACCATTATAGATCCTATAGATATTGAACTAATAATACAGAAATAAAATGAACAATCTATATCCTAAATTTAATAACTTAAATGAAATTGTCAAAATACTTGAAACATATAAACTGTCAGTTTATCTTAAAAAAAGATAACTTGCATTATTATCTTATATCTACTTGGAAAATTGATTCTGTAGTTAAATGTAGAGGGCCAAATGGGAAGACAGCTGGACATTCTTTAGATTGTTGCTGACTGGGCCTGGATATTGACGGAATCATGTCAGTTGCACTCCTGCCCTGGGAGTGTGGAGATGTTCTTAGTTCCTGGCTTGTGTTTGTTCAGGAGGAAGGAGTGGGTGGGACTTGGGCTTTCCCAGGCTCCTTGTTTTCCTATGAAACCCCTTGTTGGATTGGAGTATAAATAGATGTGCTGAATGGCTCAGGGGGTTGTCAGTCTACAGTCTATCTCTTCAGCAGAGAAGTTCCGCTACCCTCCCAGCTCCCAGCTTAAAATCTATCTCTGTGTCTTCTCTCTTTATTTCTATTATTTCTCAATCCCTGGCTGCCTCCACTTAGAACCGGTTCGTTCATCTCTCTTTCCATGCAGGACATGGAAAAGGGAGATCCCGCCAGATCAGGCCCCCTGAGTTAAACATCTTGCAATACAGAAATCTACAGGCTGCAATGACATCATGATGAAGTCTACGGAAGAAATAGTATAAATTCTATACAAAATTTTTAGAACTGTAGAAAAACAAGACAAACTTCCCAACTCAGGTTGGGAATGAAGCCTGCATTATCATGGTATACAAAATAAAGATATAGTAAAAGAAAACTACAGACCTGTATCCCTCATAAACATAGATTCAAAACTCCTCAAAAAAAAAAAAAGCAAATTAAATAATAGATAAAATGGTAATAGATCATAACTAAGTTAGGTTTATTATGGGAATGCAAGACTAATTTTCAAAGATTAACAATGCAATTCACCTCATCAACTGAGGAAGAAAAAGCAAATGGCCACCTCAATAGATATAGAAATGACACTTGACAAAACTCAACAACGATCATTCATGATAAAAAAAAAAATTATCAGATAACTAAGAATAGAGGAAACTCCTTTAATTTGATAAAGGGTATTTTAAAAAATCAGCTAACACTTAATGATAAAAGATTGAATGCTTAGAACCCCATACCCTTTCAACCCACAAGATCAGAACAAAGCAAGGAGATTTGCTTTCAACACTTTTTCTTGAAAAGGAAAACTAAATTTTTAAAAATATATTTACAGACAATAAGATTATGTAGAAAAGTCCAAAAATTATAATAAAGCTGCTAGAACTAATAAATGAGTATAGCAAGGTTGCTGTTTGCAAGTCAATATACAAGAGTTAATCATATGTCTATATTTTAGAAAAAATTAAAAATTACAATTTAAAAATAATAGATTTATGATAGCACCCAAAAATATGAAATACCTGGATATAGATTTTTAAAATGATGTGTAAGACCTATATGCAAAAACTACAAACATTTTTAAAGAAAACTGAAGATGACCTAATCTAATAGAGATATCCCGTATTTATTGAATGAATTAAAAAAATCTCAATATTTTAAGATATTTTCCCCAAAGTGTTCTCTGTCCCCAAAATGCTTTATAGATTCAATACAACTCCAAACAAAATCCTAGCAAGATTTTTCTTTTTCTAGAAATTAACAAGGTGATTGTAAAATTTATATGAAGAAAACAAAAAAATAAAGTAGGAAGTCTCATATGACCCATTTATAGATTTACTACAAAGCTAGAGTAATCAATTCAGAGTGGTAATGAAGAAAGAATATAAACAGATAAAACAATGGAATAGAAAAGAGGCCGAAAATAGGCCCACACATATATGGTCAAGTATATAAAAGTAAAGCAATTTAATAGAGAAAAGATACTCCATTCCACAAGTAATTGGATAGCCTTATAAAAAAAGAAAAAAATCAATCTTGATCCATACTTAACATATAATACAAAAATTGAGTTATAATGAATTAAAGACCTAAAGGAAAAATGTAAAAGTTATGGGGAAAAAAATCTGGTTTTTGATCCAGCATTTAAGGAGCTTAGAAGTTACTACTCCATCTTAACACCAAGTAAACTCTAAACAAACCGAGAAATCAATAATTCTGAGATCCATCAGAGAAAAGAGTTCACAGGTCAAACCTCTGCCCCCCAAATGGGAAAGACATAAAGACAGAGAATCACAACTTACTAGAGCAGAAACCTCCATGGGAACCCGTACTGGGAGAGGAAAATCTGAACCATAATTCTCAAATTGCCAGAGGCTCAGTGTGGACAATTCTGAGAATTAAAAAAAAACTCCAGGTTCTCACAATAAATATTGACAATTTTTCTCTAATATTATAAGCAAAGAGATGAAAAGTCTAAGAAATAGTAAATAAAAATAAAATAAGTTCCCGAGGTCAAAAACTCTACAAAAGAAATGAAGAATGCCTTTGATGGACTCATTAGTAGACTGGTCATGGCTGAGGAAAAAATATCTTGAGAGTAAGGATAGTAATAGACACTTTAAAAACTGTAGCAAAGAGAAAAAGGTGGAAATAGCAGAACAGAATATCCAAGTACTATGAAAGCAACTACAAAAGATATAACATACATGAAATTTATGTAATGGCAATACCAGAAGTAAGAGAAGGAACAGAGCAATATTTGAAGCAATAATATTCCCCAAATTAATGTCAGACACCAACCACAAATCTAGAAAACTCAGGAAATACAGAGCAGGAACAACATTAAAATGAAAGATGAAGAAAAAAATCTTGAAAGAAGCCAGAGGGAAAAACACTTACCTATAGAGGAGCAAATATGAGAATAATATCTAACTTGCCCTCAGAATATTTTAATATAGCCTTCAACATCCATTAATGCAATAGCATTCATAAGTGATGATATCATCACACCAGGTTCTGCACTGGTTAAATAACATCTACAGCAAGAGTCAGCAAATTATGATCTATGGGCAAAATCTGGCGCAGACACCTGTTTCTGTAAAAACAGTTGTTGCTTAACACAGTCATGTTTATTATATATATATATTGTTATTTTTATTTTTTTTCTGTGGTGGCTTCATATTACAATCAGAGTTTCATAGTTGTGACAAACATTGAATGGTCCTCAAAATCTTAAATATTTGTATCTGGCCCTTAATAGGAGGTTGCTGATTCCTGTTCTAGGACTTAATGTCTACTTTGAGACATTAAATTTTAAAAGAATACTTTTTAAAAAGGATAAATGGATTATGAAGGACATGTTAAGAATACCTTCAACTTAAGGAAGATAGCATGGGGTATAATTAGCCCTAAAGAAAGACTTAGAGAAGTAAAAATAACATTCATATATTTAGAGAACTATCCTATAGAAGAAGCATTAAACTGGGGTAACTTCAAAAGAAATAACCTGGAACAGTGGTTGGCAAACCGCGGCTCGAGAGCCACATGTTGCTCTTTGGCCCAAAAAATACCATGTGCGGACGCGCACATACAGTGCGATTGAAACTTTGTAGCACATGCGCAGAGTCGGTTCTCGGCTCACAAAAGAAATTTCAATCGTTGTACTGTTGATATTTGGCTCTGTTGACTAATGTGTTTGCCAACCACTGATCTAGAACAACACGTAGAGTTTTACATGCTGGATACATTGAGATGTTTAAAAATGAGCGGGTTACCTTATAAAGAAGTGAACTTTCCCTCAAAATAACTATTAAAGCAAAAATGAAATGTCCATTTGTCAGAGGTAGTGTAAAGAGGCATTCATGCAATGAACATATAGCTGGACAAAAGAAAAATTAGAAAACACTGAGATGAAAGAAAGCGAAGATACAATATACTACAACTATGGGATGCATCTAAAGCAGTGCTTAGAGAGTAACGTACTCATTAAAAATAGACATTAA